GCGCCGAAACCAGGCCACACCAAGCCAGCGCCAAGACTCCGCAAAGACCACGAGGAGCTGGGGCTCCCGGGCATCCCGCATGCGCAGCCCGCGGCCTCTGCTCCAGCAGAGCACTCACTCTTCTTTTTTCACAAAACCGAACCTGGACCACAGGAGGTGGAGCAACCGCGCCAGTCCTGCCAATCCTCGGCAGCTCGTGGCCTAGTCCTGGGCCCCTCTCTTGCTTCTCTTTCTGGGGTGTGAGCATTCCACTCGCAGTCCACTGGGCAGGTGTCCACGCTGCAGTACTTCTTCTCCGAGGTCCTCGGCGAAACACTTTTCACATCACTCTTATTGCTCTTCCTTAAGGCACCGGCGAATTCCCGCCGGCACAGTCCCGACCACCAAAGAGAGCCGGTACCTCCACGTTGGGTCTAGTACGCCTTGAGACTTTAAACTCTACGGGCGATGTCACTGTCGAAGGTCTTGCCCCTGTGCCACCTGCACCTGTCGCGATCTCTCTGCTTGACCGGGCCCGCAGGAGACACCTGGAGCGCAGCAATCGAATGCGAGCGAAGACAAACTTGGAGCTTCTCTGGGCGAAGCGCTGCAATCGGACCACGGCGTCCAGTCCGATAGCTTGCAGTCTGTTGGGCACTGCTTCAAGCTGCAAGTCCCCGTCTGCTGAATCGACCTGAGGACACGATCGAAATGTCATGGCCTTCTTCCGGGACTGTGGGCTGCGACGTCTGGTTTGATGGGCAAGGCTTCCCCAGCTCGTTCCCCTGCTCCTTTGCAATTCACAGGTGCCCGCGGTTTTTGCCTTGTCACTCTTAGGTGTCAAGGCCCCCTGCAACCACCGTTCTGAAACGCTTGCCTGGCCAAATCGCAGTTCAAGGAGGCCTATGGCCGCGAAGCACGTTGGGGGCGGACGGTGTCCGGGCTCCGAATCGGTCTTGCAGGAACGATCGCATGGGCTCCACTCGCCTCAGTCAAGCTCCAAAAACCGTGCTTCCGGCATCTTCAAATGACTTGCAACTCCTGTACCCGAAGGCCACGTATGTTCTACAAGTACTTTCATGAAGAATTGGCACCGCTCGTCTCCCTCCCGCAGCAGCAAAGTGCAAGGAGGTGTCGTGTTTGTCGCATGCCTTGCTGTTTTCTCTCTCTCTCTCTCTCTCTTTCTCTCTCTCTCTCTCTCTCTCTCTCTCTCTTTCTGTTTCTCTTGCTTGCTTGCTTGCTTGCTTGCACGGCGTTTGGGGCGAGGGGTTCCCCCCTCCACCGCTGCGCTCTCGCGCTACGCCTCTGTCCTTTGCCGTTTGTCGGCGTGAAACTGCCGAAGGGTGTCGGCAAAGGCCCAGGCTTAGCCCTCCCACGTATACTGCCCAACATGCTACTAGTCAACAGGCCGCTTCAGCTGTTCAACGTAAAACTTCTAAGTTGGCCCAAGCTTTCTTATTTTGAGCTAGCGGCTGTAGGGTCCTCCAAAGGTTTGTGTCACCAAAGTATTTTGAATGTGCTGCAGCCACCTCTCGCTCCGTGGGATGATGGTATATGTCATGGTGTCATTGGTGGCCTCTTGGCATAAAGGCATTACTGGCCAAGTTTGTTGCCTCTGATAGGCCTGGGGCATATTGAGCTTTGATGCAGGCTGGCTTTGCACAGGCTTCAGTCTCACTATTCGGAGAATAATTATCAATGCTGTCTGTGCGAGGGACCGACCGAGGACACTCTTGCAACTACCAGAAATACCGGCTGCTCCCGGCGAATCCTGCAGTTCCAAAGGCTCTTCCACAGAAACCAGCAACAACCCGGCGCCCTCACTGCCCCCTTTCCCAGCAGTCACGGCACAGCGGCAAACCTAAGGTGATTTCGAGCTCTCGGACGCCAGACTTCAAAGATTCCGAGAAGCCGTCCACCGCCGGCCACCGCAGCGTGACAGCCGTCTACCCTTTTGATCTTGCAATGCTACAGACGTACACATACGCCGGCCCTGTGCACCTGCCAATGCTATGCAAACTCGTTCACAGAACACCTATGCTGCCTTTCTCTGTGTCTGAGTCTGCCCCTCTCTCCCTCTGTCGCTATTTCTTTCTTCATTTCTTTCGCTCTGTTCGGTGTAGTGGTCGGCCGGCGACCGTCAGGCCTTCGTTTGGCATGGTCTGCCAGGTGGGTTGTGTATTTTTGAGTTCTAGGCCACGGGTCGCTAGAGCCTTCAACGATGCATCACAACATGAGATCATTTGGAAGTCCAGGGCCTTAGGCAGGCTACGTACAGAGGCACCCGAACGGAGTTTCCCCCAGCCAGCGCATCTCGGCGAACATAGTCTAAGTCAAAAGAGGATTCCCCCCCCCCCCTACGTGGCAGCACAGAGAGCTTGCCACAGTGATAATAACTCTTCTTCCACGCAGACGAAGGGCAAGCAGCGCTCACCCCTGCACGCGCACGCGCACTGTCCTCCACTGTCTTGGTGCTACTGCAAATTCGTGAGAGAACTTGTTCACCCACCTAGACCTATGTACCCCCGGCCTCATCTGACAGGCGCTCACCAGTTCTGTGGCGCAAACTCAAACGCACAACTGGCTGCTGCTCTGTGCCCCCACCAAACACACAACGTGTGCAAGCAGACATGAAACTGGCTACCCCCTCTGGACTCAAAGCAGCACTACAGCAGTGAATCTGAGGCCCCGACCATAACATGAACTCTTACATCAACTCTCCACACGGAACATAGCAGGATTGCACTCATGTAAAGAAATAAACCCACTGCAAAGGTACTCCTTACAGTTCTGGGTTGCCTCGGTGATCCAAAAAAGCAGCATGCTGACGCCTTCGGCGATGTTCTCCTAGGTCTACTGGCTCGCCCCTCTCACCTGTGTTTGCCCCCTCATCAGCGCCATCTTCCCCCAAGGCCGCCAACCGCGCTTCTTCTTGTTCTTGTCTCTCGTATTCGTCTAGCGCCTGCAGCAAGTCGTCATCAGTGGGGCCCCCGAAGTCCTCATCTGGTCCCGGCTGGGACTCGTCGGTGGTCGGGATGCTCCCCGGCCACTGCTCCATGTGCAACGGCAGGATCCACTTCTCCGCTGCTTGGGACCCCACTGGCATCGGCTGGCTCCCCTCTTCAGTCGTCTGCGTGTCCACCACCACTGTGTCGGCTGGTTTGGCTTGCCGCCAAACTGCAATGGCGGCCATCAGCTGTCGCAGTGGTTCCCCCCCAGCGTGAATGAAGTGTGCCACTGCCCGGATATTTCGCAGGAGCAAGTCGACTCTGTGGTGTCGAAGTCCCCCTCCGGTTCAGCTGGTGCCTCCTCCGCTCCGTCTTGTAGAGCGACCACATCTGCGGGGTGGACATAGTCCAGTTGGCCTGCCTCTTCAAGGAGCTCCTCCGCGTCTTGTGTTGCCAAAGCGACGGCGTCGGCCCAGCCCGGTGTCATCCAGTCCAGGTCCCCCTGTACTGTATTCCCCATTGCCACTTCGATGGCTGCCCTCGCCTGCTCCAGGCCATGTTGTTCATGTTGAATTTGGTAGCCCCCTTGCCCCATCATAGCTTGTTGGAACTGTACTGTCCCCCTGTGCAGGTCTTCCTTGGCGACTTTGAGGTCCTCGTAGATCTGGTGCCATACTCCCCCTCATCGGAAGCCACGTCGGAGAGGCGCATTCTGGAAATGGACAGCATATTCAGGATGCGCCGCTTTTTGCAAGGGCCCATCCCCCCCACAGTTCCATTGTCAGCTGGCTCCGTGTCTTCGTTGCGGCGCACTGCTTGCATGGCTTCTTCGAGGAGCAAAAAGATGTTGTCCCCCGGCGCCCTTTCTCGCAAGACCACTGCCAGCTCGCGCAGCCATCTCCGGATCATAGCGGCGGCGTTACTCATGCGCAACAGTCGCCTCGCGTCCTCGTCCTCAAACGGCTTCGGGACGATAGGCAGTATTGCGTACCCCCTGCGGAGGCCTGGCACGAAGAGATCATCCCCATTCAATGGGACATCGAGGGAACGCAGCACCTCCTTGGCTGCTCCGAGCGTATCCTCCGCTGCTGTGTCTGGGTGCTGTCCCCCGATGATGAGAGCTGGCTTTCTGCCCCCCTCTGTGTCGGCTGTGCTCCCCGCTGCCACCGACGACGGCGGCTTTTGCTCCAGTGTCGCCATGCGGTGCTCCAAGTTCCGGTGGGCTTCTTTGACTTCATCTAAGGACCTGGCTTGCACTTCGTAGCTTTTGGTAACTCTGTCGAGCGCCTTCACCGTGTCTTGCACTTGCTGGGCAACGATCTGCTCGACTGTCTGAACCTTCTCTTGCATGACCGTCACATCCCCCTTCACCCCCGCGAGGCTGGCTGCCAAATGCTCTCGGTCCCGTTCCCGTTCCTCCGCAAGCACCGAGCGAAGCATCGACAGAGTAAGGGCTTGTTCCTCCACTCGCCCCTTCTTGGCCGGCGACGCGTCAGGCCCTTCGCCTCTGGTTTCCTTGTCCCCTTCCATGGGCTGTGGCTGCCCCTCCTTGTTGCCCCCAGGTGTGGAATTCATTCTCGATGTTCTGCAAATAGAAGCACGTTGCACAACCTGCTCAATCTGTACGACCCGATGTTCTCCCGGCGAATCCCTCCGATGGAACCGGCCGTGTATAGGATCGCCGAATGCGGTGGGGTAGCGGAAGTCAACGTCCCCCGCACGCCGCGGCAGCCGATCACGTTGGGAACCGTTCTTGACTATGTCCCCCCTGCGGACCCCCACGATGAAGAGCGCAAACTCCCCCTCGTGCTCGATCAGGAATCGCGTCGGAGGTCCTGAAGGAACGACCTGCCTACACAAACGGCCGGGTTGAGAGGCGGTTGAGGCCTGCTAGCAGAGGAGTGGGGAGAGAGCAAGAAAGAAGAGCAAGGCAGGACGGCCTCAACCCCTCTTGAACCGCTCACGGCTTGAGCCAAAATGGCTACGGGTAACTCTCTCTCTCGCTCTCTCTCGCTCTGTCTCGCTCTGTCTCTATAGAAAGGGGTCTCGTGGAATCGCGTGCAAGACCCCGGCTCCAGTCGCTGAGCTCGCAGTCGACGGGACAGACACCACTGTCACAGGTCTTGTTTTCGGAGAGGCTCTCGCATGCCAAGCCTGTGAGGGAGGCATTCGGACGCGGAAAAAAATCTCGGCAGGCCGCTGTATACGACGAGAGGCCACCATAGCTTGCATACACCTGCGCCACATGACTCAACCTGCATAGCCGAGCCCGAGATCCGCGCCGGCCTGGACTGACCGCGTGCGTCGGGTGACACCCATGCCGCAGCTCACGTCGCAGAGCTCCCACAAGCCCCAGTCCTGCACAACACGTCCAGGTCCCACACCGCCGTAAGCTTCCAGCGCTTCCGTCCGTAAGGACGCAGTCCACCGGGCAGCTGTTCTGTCCGCAGCTGGTCTCTTCCATGTCCGACCTAGCAGTTTTAGCAGCTCGTAGCAGCTCCAGCGTTTTCTTCACGCTGGACAGGCTCCCTGCCCAATTTCTTCGCATGGAGTGCCGTCGGCACTCGGCTGCACCTCGAAGACACAGAGCCGCTAGCGGCTAGCGTCCTGGAAACGCGCCTGTTTTCCAGCCCCACTGACAGAGCTTCGCTGAGGCGGGCGCCGCTATGCTTCGGAAGCGCTTTCCTCATAAGCTCCGAGACTCCGAGAACTCTCCGAGGCGGTTGCCACGCTCTGGGCCCCGGGGCGCGTCCCCTTGCCGCAGGACCGGGAGCAGCCGCCCCATTGGTCTGTTGCCAAGAAAAGGGCAGGAAGGGAGAAGGAGAGCACGGATGAGTCGCCGCTCTTCCACCAACGCCAAGGCACCCCAGTCGGCGTACTCGCAGTCGATCGGGCAGTCGCCCAAGTTGCAGTCTGACGTCCTCTATACCAAACCGAGAGAGCGGATCTTCGGCCGGCCCCTCATTCAGAGATTCCGTGGCCCAAGCTGTGTGGTGTTTCCCACGCACTGGGCGCCGCCAAATTCAGCCGCCTGTGGTTCATCGACTCGAAACGATGGCAGACATCCTAAAGCCAGCACCTGGCCTGCCGAAAGTCACGTGAGCGGCTCCTTGTACCGGGACCACAGGTCGAGCTGCATGCCGAGTACTTCCTGCGAGAAGCCGTCAGGCCGTCTCTCACGCGACCCAGCAACGCCGAATTAGGCCGCCAGGACACGACCAGTCTGCCCACAAGCAGTCCACCGGACAGTCATTCTTTGTACACTCCTCATATATTTGACAAATGCACAAAGTGGAGCATATGCATGGCCCCGAGCATTCAGGACAAGAAAGCCATAGAACAGGCAAGTGGCCCTGGACTCTCTGGCGTTGCCATCGCAAGCCTTGCCGTGCCCCTGCGCCATTATTCTGACCTTCCGGGTCCTCAATGCAGCCGTGACACAGGCAAGAAACACGACACTGCCATGCACTGCTTCACGGCATGCTTGCGAGTGCCTGATGGATTCGCCTCCACCGCATGTGAACTGGCAGACGCTCCAGTCTACCCAGTCATTCCAAACCTCTTCACGGCTTCACGATTCGAACTTCGAAGCTTTCAATAAACGAATTCGGAACAGTTCGAGGAGGCCACGCAATCGGCGTCCTCCGCCTGCGCAACGACAGCCACTTACGGTTGCATTCGATCGGCACCACCCCCCCAAGGGGCGCCGTGAGCTCGAGGGACTCTATCTCTCCTGTGGCGGGAGTAACTCAAAGGCTTTCCCTTCACAAAAAACCCTTTTATGTGTTTCGTCCTGCCACATCGACGGCCGCCCCAAGATGCCGGTTCGCCTTTCGAGATTTCGAGAGCTTGCAAAGCAACTTGTGCCGTCTCGCACGAACTCGCGAGCCTCGCGCTCGGCGCGCACGGCGCGCATCAGCCGAGGTGGCTCCAGCTCGAGCTCCTCCAAGAGAAAGGGGAGGACCAAAAAACGGTGCGGCGGAGCAGAGCCGGCGCCGAGGCCGAAACGTCCGGAAGACTCGTCGCTGGAGTGACCCAACGGGCGCAAAGGGCCAACCCGAGGAGCTGCCCGGCGCGGTTCCGGCGCCGCAGACCTGCACTCCACGGGTCGGCGCAGGCGGCTGCGCGCGTCGCGCGTCTTTTCTGCGTCTCTCTCCCTCTCTCGGGTCTCCCTCTTAAGCTCTCAGTCCGATAAGAGGGCCCGGATCTGTGCGAAAAGCATCTTGTATATATGCCTCTGAGACGCGAGGCTCCAGAACAGGAGTCTGATGCCAAGCTTCTTGGGATCCAGCAGTACTCACATCCAGCGTAGATACGCCTGGGCAGACTCCGTCTTCACGCTGTGTTGCTTTTCCTAGGAGGCCCTACCGTTCTCTTTTTGTGGGGTAGTGTGGTGCTCTTGATATTTGCTGTCTAGATCAACCCCCTCATTGTTTCAAGCTCGGCTGTTCACTTCCGTGCAGCTCCAAGTAACAATCACCCTGCAGTCCGTGCAACGATTAATGCTATAGCTGCTATCATTGCTATCTACTCGCGGCATGTGCCTCTTGCATACAACAATTACGAGGAACTGCTCTTGGAGCGGCTAGACAACCTTGATCAACAACCCTTCCCTCACGTTTGCAATCGAGCGTCTGGAAATTGAGAAATGGATGTGTTGCAAAAGACGGTCACAGACTGAAGGGAATGCGCAGCAGCGCCCCCGCTTGATCCGAAATGCCATGAACGAGCGGCTCACACCGCCTCATGTGTCTCAAAAATCCTGACTCCCATCATCATCCAAGTAAACCTCATCGGAGTGGTAACACGGATCCAACAGTATGACTACACTGGCATAAACCCCAAACCTTGAAGGATAACTCTGTGGTGCTGTTCCATTCGAACTAGTACCCTCAGACAAGCATTAACCTGCAACTGTCTGAGGCTCAGGAAGAAGCGGAAGCGCCGAAGAACGGCTCCTTGAAACACGCATCACCCATCTCAAGTCGCGGCCCAGCTGCCTCGAAATTCCTTCTTCCCTTTGTCTTGGCATGTTTCGGTGCATCAGGAAATGCTTGGAGTCATGCTCGGGCTCGCACCTTTGAACATCTCGCTCTGATGCTTATGTTGTCCACACTGCCTAACGTTTTGTGAAAACACGGGCTTGCAGGGTGAACAAGTCCCAATACAAAGCTGCACCGGCTACTGGTAGAAGAGGAGAAGACTCCGGGCGTGTCTCAAGCAACAGCTCAAGTCAAAGCGAATTGGGAAGGTGAGGTGCAGAGTGGCGAAGAGGCGCAAAAGGTTCGAGACATGCAAGCACCGCCAGGAGATGCAAAAGCCTTTTTGCTTTGTGCGGACCGGAGCTCCCCTTCGATGTGCTCGGCCCGAACAGCACAGGCGCAACCGAAGAGCTGCAAGACGTGGCAGCGCAGCGGCAGCAAAGCTATCAGGTGCGGCCTCAGCGAAGTGGAGTACAGAGAGAGGAAATGGGTTGGGCGGTATCCCAGAAAGCTCCCGGCCCATCGACTTCTGCGGGGCCTTGGCCTTGGCCTTGGGACTTGGGGGTGGGGATGGTGGGGATGGTGGGGACGGCGGGGGTGGGGGTGGCGCTTTGCCTCGGGGTCTGGGGGGCGCCTTGCTCGAAAGCGAAGACAAGGAAGGGGGCGAGGGTGGCGGACCAGGGATGGACGCTTTGGACTTGGGCTTGGGTTTTGGTGGGGCAGGCGGGGCCGCAGGAGGGGCCGCAGGGCGGGTTGGTGGGGGGGGCGGCGTGGAGGCCTCAGCCTGGGCTCTTTGCTTGGGCGGCACCGGCATGGCAGGTCCCGCCTTGCCCGGCGGAGGTGGCGGAGGTGGGGCTTTCGTTGGGGCGGGAGGTGGCGGCACACCTAAGCTCCAATCATCTCTGTCCGCAGGTAGGTTCTCCGGTTCTCCGAGGTCCGGGCCTGATGCTGTCAGGGCCTCGTCTCAAAACGTCTGACTCGAACTCCACTCGCGGCGATGCCCTGCGCCTCGAGGTCGATGTCGGCCAAAATCTCTCCGGCCTCATCCTGTGGTGATTGCGAAGAAGGAAAGGAAGAGCTGCGCTTCTTGTCTTGGCGCTTGGCGCTGGTGAGCTCCAGGATCTGATGCTGAGCTTGCTCGAGCAGCCTTAGCCAACGGAGCGTGATCCTTCGGTATGGCCGAGTTATAAGACCCGCTCGCAGCCAGCTCCTTCTCCCGCTTCTTGGCATCCGCGAGCTCTTTTGTAAGTACGACCTCACAGACGCGAGTTTTGGGAGCCTCTCGCCGCCAATTGGCGCCTCGCAGCTCTCCAGCAGTGGGCCTTCTCCCGGCGGACGGTGATGAGCTCCACCTCCTTCTCCTTCAGCTCCCCGGCCCGTTCAGCCTCAGCAAAAGATGACGTCATCTGAACTTGAAAAATGAAGGGAAAACCCCAGCACCTAGCTCCCCCTGGCCCTGGGCCGGGCCTCCCTGGCCCTGGACTCCGACAGCTCCCGTTCCAACTGACGCAGAGGCGGCGCTTCGCGTCGCTGACACAGAGACGCCACAGACTCAGACGCCGCCTTCAGCTGCCCTTCCTTCATTTCCTCAATCTTCCTTTCAAGCTCCTGAGAAGACTGGGTGAAGAGGGGCTCTTGAAGAAGGGATCCAGGGCCCCCAGGGCCAGACAGACCTCGCGGCTGTCTTTGCCGCCCAGCGCGAGGTCCCTCTCCTCGGCACGAACAGAGAGTAGGCAGAATAGAGTAGAGTAGAATATAGTAGAATAGAGTAGAATAGAGTAGAATAGAGTAGAATGCTTGGAAGAGAAGCCGGAGCCAGTCGTATGGCGATGGCATTAAGTCCCCCTGCTCTTTTCTGGCGATGGCCGCGAGGATGCAAGCAAACAATCATCTCCTCTCCTGAGGACGCTTTTTGGGCTCCAGGCGATTTGTGCCTGCTCCACGCGCTCCGCGAGCTCCTTCGTCATCTGTCGTCTTCCCTCGTCTGAACCCTCGTCTTAGTTCTTTTCACTGCTTCTCTGTTTCCGGGATCCTCGTAGCTCTCCTGGGCGACTCTGGCCCGCTCCTGAGCGGCTTTTCGCACGGACACCCTCTCTTGCCCATCTTTTCCCATCTTCTCAAGAACCCCTCGCCGCCTGTTCCTCGGCGAGGCGCTCCCGCAGCTGGCCCTCGCGCTCCTCTGGCAGAGGCAGCACAGCAAAAGGGTCTGCTTCGCAGACGTAGAGCCGTGGAGCTCTCTCTCCTCGGCGCCGGTGAGGCGCTCCGAGAGCGCAGCCTCTGCCGCACACTTGCCCCAAAGAGAGTCACACTGTGAGGAGCAGAATCCCCTCGCAAAGAGTCGCAAGCGCCTGCTGCTGCTCGGCCTTGGCGACCTCTGAGGGCGAGGAGCGTCAGTGAGCCCGAGAGCACCTCTTTCTCTCCCCTCGCCCTGCCTGGTGCGCCAGAGCGTTGGCCTCGTCCTGGAGCTCCCTGGAAGAGCCAAAGACTGGAAGACAGCGGGTGTCAGAGAGAGAGAACGAGAGAGAAAGCAAGGAGGCCAGAACTCTCTAGGCTGCCGGCCGCTCTTTGCCGCCGAGGGCCTCGCGCATGCCGAACATCCAGTCCTCCCCTGACGTCGGAGCCCGAATCCACCTGCTTTGTGCCGGCTGGAAAAATCGGACGGCCTGAATAGTTCTCGGGCTTGCCATCGATGCCTCATATACTTGCATGTTGAATGCGATGTGCTTGCTTCCGTGGTGTCCTTGCAGAGCTCTGCCTGGAATTGCATAGCCAGAGTCCCTCCATTCAGTGAAGGGGTTCCTGCGTCCAAAGAGCAAAGCAGAGCTTCTGTCTGCACTGCGACTCGGAACTTCAAAAGCATCCCAATGCTGAGCCAATGCTGCCTCGGATCGGAACCTGGCTCTTGCGGCTGCTCCGCTCGCTGGACTTTTTCACTTAAGGCTCAGGCCTTTGCCGGCGCGTAAGGCAGGCTTCGACAGCCTCCAAAGCGCAGACACACGCACCGTCCTTCCTGGAAAATCGAAAGCATGCCTTTTTTTTGGCCTTGCCAGAAGGTGCGCAAAAATCCCCTCCCAGACAGAAGAGAAGGAAATACGGTGTACTTGTGTAAAGGCCTGGCATGCATGTATCGCAGCAGGGCTTCGCACTGGTAGTCGAAGCCCTGAAGACCCCCAACCGTAAAAGAGTTAAAACTCCAACAAGCATCAGCAGTACGGCCACAGCAACGAATTAAATTCTGCGCCGTCTTTCCACGGAACCCCAAAATGCCAAATGCTGGACTGTGAATCGGCAGAAACCCAGGCACTAAAGGCCACAGCAACAAAAACAACGCAAGGGCATAGATGAAAGCGCGAGACACAAACGGACGTAACGAACAGTCACTAAAACTTGACCGCGGGGCCCAAATTGCCGCATGCACGGAAAATTGTAGAGGCCCGGCACCCACCACGAGTGCGTCTGCCGGCGAGGGTCATGCAGTGCATGATGGCATACGTGCCATGCAGAAGCTGAAGGTTCAGGCTTGGCTCTCACCCGACGTGGGGTGCGAAGGACATGCTGCGCAACTTGGCCGTGTTGATCACATTGGTTTGGAGGACAAGCTCGCATACTACACGGTTAAGGAGTTCGGGCGGCTTGTTGAAGTCGCTGGCTTTCCAGGCGTGCATCATCAAGCAGCACACAGGCTCGCCAGGCGAGGCCATCTGCATCAAGCTGGCAACTACTGCACTTGGGTGACGTGATGGTGCGCAAGGGCGCGAGCGACAAGCTGTTCCAATCGGCCATATCATGTTGAGCACTGTTTTGGAGGACACGTTCGCATACTACACGGTTGAGGAGTTTGCGAATGGCTTCTTGAAGTCGCTGGCTTTCCAGGCGTGCATCATCCAGCAGAACAGAGGCTTGCCAGGACTGTGCAAGGTGGCCATGTTAAACATTGGTTTGGAGGACACGCCCGCATGCCACAGGATAGTGGAGTTCGGGCGGCTGCACCATCAAGACGGTGGGCATGTACACGTGCCGTGGCTCTGCGCCGGTGCAACCGGCATAGGCCTGAACCGCCACGCCCTTGGACAACATCAGCACTACGGCGTCACTACGTCCACTTCGACAACGTCGGGACTATACTGTCCTCCGGACGTGGACGGCAGTTCCTGAGCAAATAAAAAGACCTTCGAGTGATATACTTGCATGAAGTTGCAGTGACGGCACGGAGTCGTCACTCCGTGTTGGCGTCACTCCGTTCCGTGTTGGGGCGGTCATGTGACAGGCACGTTTGTCTTGAGTGGGCGCGGTGATTTTAGCACTCGTGTGGGGTGTTGTTTTGCCGTCTGCCCTACCCGGCCCGTGCAAGAATGCAAGAATGGGCGCAAAGCTGCTGTTTGAGTGACCTGCAATAACATGAAGCGTTTTGTCCATGCTCTTCCGTTCGTTACTTCGGGTGCATACCTAATGGGATTCTGCTCCAGGGTTCTTGTGAGCAAGCAAGGGAACACCAGACGCTGAGAATCAGCTGGTGATCGTTTTCGTGGTAGCTCCTGGAACATCCAGTGTGGTTCTTGGTTTTCCAGTTTGGGTTTGGGGAGAAGGCGTTTGACTCCTACCTGTAAAAATGCTCCTCTGCCCTTTGTTCTGCATGTTTGAGTTTTGAGCAGTGGAGATACGATTTGTTGTTCTCGCAGCTGCCGGGCAAGGCGAGAACCACTACCGCCATCCTGGATCGCCAGCTGCCGCAGACCGTGCCAATTTGCCCGATCCAAGCCCACAAGCTTGGCTTCCCTGAGCGCCAATAAGGCGGCGACAACCCGGAGCCACTACCCCAGTCCTGCCTAACGAGCTGAGCTTTTGCATGAAGCCCCCCAGTTGCCCCACTCCGCCCCAACAACTGTTCACCGATCCTACTTGTAGCTGACATGTCTTCAGGCAGTCAGTGTATGTGTTCACCGTTCACTGCATATATACATTTCATGACACAGGGACAACGCCGCTCCTCCCTCGCAGTCTCTGTGCGTGCTTGCAAAAGTGTTTCGGGGCACGCCGCTGTGCCTGAAGTCCGAGTCCGGAGAGTGCAAGAGAAACCGGACTCCCCCCGCGCAGACCCCTGCCCCTCGCCCATCCTCGTTTCCTTGCTCTGTGCTTCTCCCTCTGTGGCCTTCGTGGGGTGGAATGGATCATGTAAAAATGGCGCACAGTGCCAACTGTAGAGTGCAACTTGGCTGGGGCTTCTGTGCCGACACACACAAGGAGCGCCGGTGTTGCCTTCTGTGCGAGTGGGCCCTGAGTCCCACCTCGGAGCGGAGCAGAGCGGAGCAGAGCGGAGCAGAGCGGAGCAGAGCGGAGCAGAGCGGAGCGGCACTCCCGCTGAGGTCCCAACAGCGAGGCCGAAGCCGACGGAGACAGGAGCGACGCACGCACCTGTCAGCTGAAGCCAGAAGGGGCCAAAGGCATGGCGGCCCTCCGGCTCCTGGCGCCTCTTTTTCCGGGCCCTCTGGGCCCTCTCCCTCTGAGCAGAAGGGAAGGTCCGGAGCCCCGGCGGGCGCTGGCGCAGCTGCGCGCCGGGGAAGACTCGACAAAATGGAGCAGTGGCCGGCTGCGCTTCCACCAAACAGGGCACACTGGGCTCTCCGAGTGGCAGGCGAGCTCCAAGGGCAGAGGCTCCATGAGTGCGGGGCCCCCCTGTCTTCCCGCTCTAAACCCCCAGTGGGAGGGAGGGCCCCTAAGCTTCTGAGCCGGTTTGGGATTCGGGCGCCCAACTCCGCAGAAAAAAGGCAGCCGTGTGAACGCAACGTTTGCTTGAATTCCGAAGAGCCGTCTTTTTTTCTGCGCTTGCACTTCTCGTTCGGAGAGACTGAGAAGCCTTTGGCTTCTCGGCAGGAGCTTGTGCCTGCACTCTCGAGCTCGAGCTCAGATTTGGAAGACTTGGGACGGGCAGGAGGGACCTCTCAGTCTCGTGGTGCAAAGCTGCACGATGCTGCACGTGGCAGAGCTGGGCAGTGCTGGGCTCTCGCACTGCTGGCCGCTGGGCGCAGCAAGAAGGACGGGACCTGAAAGGGCGACTGCGAAGCTTCGCGGACAGTGTGGCGGTCTGAGACAGAGCACGCGTTGCTTCGCGGCGTAGGCCTCTTCGACGTCCTCGTCGCCAACGGCGAACTCCTGCGGGCGAAACAAGCACAGAAAGGGCGCACTCTGCTCTGCGGCTCTCTCCCCCTCCCGGCTCTCCGGCCTTGAGCACCGGAACCCTGGCCTCTGCGCGGGGTGCGACACTCACGCAACAAGGGGGCGCCTTCCTGGGTGCCCAGCGACGAAGTCGCAGGGCTGGAACCTTCCGTTCCACAAATGGCGTGGCAAGAAGCCTCCCCAAACCCTCGACGCTTCGAACCTCGAGCCATCCGACTTCCGCGGTGGGGCGCCTGAGACTCGCGAGATTTCGGAGCAGGGCCCTCTGCCTTTGTCTCTCGCATCGCCTCGTCGGCTATCGGGCCCGCCGCTTTGGGGATCCCAAAGCTCTGCGCAAGGCTCCGGGTGCTCCGCGTCAGCCTCGTTCCCAGTTCCGCAAGGTGGTCGCTCTCTCTCTCTCTCTCTCTCTCTCTATCTCCGGCCTGGGGAAAGCCATCCGTCACAGCATCCAGGGAGGAAGCAAAGTTTGTGAAGCCAGGGCCTCCAGCTTCGGTGATTTTTCAAGGGCCGGTCCGAGAGGCAGGGGGGATCGGCCAGGATTCTCGCCTGATGCCATGTCGGACACCCTGGTGCAGATCCAGCCACGTGCCGGACCCCGGTAGACCTCCACAGCACCTGAGAGCGCGGGGCAAGTCTGCACAGCGCACAGAAAAGAACGTCTTCGGACTGAGCTCCCGTGCTTCCCTTGAGGAAGCGGCGCCTGAGGTAGGAGGCCTCTCTTGCAAAGGGACTCCAGAAGAGCGAAGACCGCGGCGCTTTGCAAGCCGCCCCCTGCCCGAACGCCGCACGCCTCTACGACAGCCACGGACTCTTGGCCGAAGACACGCACCTCGAGAGGAAGCGAGAGTCAGCGCCAAGAAAAGCGGCTTGAACATGTGGCGTCAACCGGCCGGAACCTTGTAATGGCGGAGGAGGGCCGTGCTGGCCTGTGACAGAGGAGAGACCGCAGAGGAGCTTCTTCGAGGAATCGCTCCCCGCACGCTGCGGCGCCTCGAGGCCCTCGACCTCCGCCAAGCGCCAGTCGCTCCGGGACCTCTGAGTGCGCTTCCGCCGGGGCTTCCGCCGGGGCGGGGAGGAGGAGACTCCTTTCTGGGGTGCCCGGGCCAAAGCTCCACGGGCTCGCCGACTTGCAGGGGCCTAGCACCCCTCCCCCCCCCACGACTCCTCCGCGCCCCCCTCCCCTTTTTCTGGGCTCCCGGACGCCCGGAGCAGCTCCAGGGGCACGTGCGGGCGCTCCTGGGCCCTCCAGCGGCCCTTCAACGTCACTGCGTAGGAGACTTTCCTGAGCTGAGAAAAGCTGCGAAAGAGCTGATCGCAGCGACGGAAGCGCCAGCCCTGCTGTCACTTCATCTTTTTCTCCGACGCGCTGTCGTGTGAGTGGGCTTGGCGGCCTGCCGCGCTCCACCTCCTGCCCTGGCTTTTGCCAAGGCAGCTGCATGGGTGGCTCACGGCACTCTTCGTGGGCTCGTCACCTCCAAGTCTCAAAATGTGACTCGTCTCACTCTGGCGGCTGACTTTTGCACCTGCGCCCATCCGCCACGGGTGTCGATCCCGGCCCTTCTGGGCCACGGGGGGCCACCAACGGACAGAGTCTCCTGAGTACGATGCTCGGCTGGAGAGAGTCCACGCTCTGGCCCACTGGGACGCATCCAAGTCGCAGCAACATGGTCTGCACATGGTGCCGAACCTCGCAACACACCGGCAAAACAGAAAAACCAGATAGGAGCCACGAACCCGAATGCAGACACGCGCAACGCAGATATCGTCAAAAAAATAACTACAAGGAAAGGCATATTCATACGACCG